CAACAGCAACAACAGCAACAACGACAACAACAGCAGCAGCGGCAACAGCAACAGCAGCAGCAGCAGCAGCAGCAGCAGTGGCAGCAGCAGCAACAATAACAATTTACCAACACTAGTAATACTAGTAGCAATAATTGAGAACAGTAGTAAAAGAAACAATCACAGTAGCAGTAATATTCGTAATATTTGCTGTAATCGTAAAAATAGAAATGCTGATCATCAAAACGACAGCCATACCAATAGTAATAATCACAGTACCAGTAATGATAAGCATATTCAGAGTAATATTGATAATCATAGGGCGACAATAATCACAACAATAATCATAGTATTAAGCATTATTCATATTATTTCTGTTATTATGATGATTGGTAGCATGTTTGTGGTTATTGTTGTCGTCGTTTGTATGCTTGTTATTGTTGTTGTTATTAGTCGTTATCATAGTCGTATTGATAAACTCTAATATAGTTCAGACCATACTTCTTCGTTAAAGGGGTTTAGGGCACGCGGGGAACCTCAGAGCTTTGATCCAGATGTGACTGCGAAGTGCTATTTGGGCTAAGGGGGCGTGCGCATGGCACTCATGGCTGCATCCATTCGGTAGCCCCCCAAAATTTTCCCCCGTCCCACCTGCAGTCCCTCCCAGCGAAGCCACCCTAAGCCAAGCTGAGCCAACAAGCTTCAGAAGCTTTCACGCAGAAGGCTCCAACGGAGATGGACAATGATAATCTGAAACCTTCGCCCCAGGCCAAGTCCAGGACAGGCCTTCTTAGATTTTTGGAGTTTCGCAACTCCCACTCAGACGTTGCTATACTGTGGTCCATATCGCTTCTTTGAAACCTCCGGATGGCGATGCAGCCGCCCGCGCCGCCCGTGGATCGGAGCAGGAGTCCCTTCGGCCAGAAGCCCCAGAGCTCCGCAGCCGAGCCCAAAGGGTCCTACAGTAGGTTCAGTAAGTTGCTACATCGAAGCTGCGCCGGGGTTTCATGAGATGTTGTAGAGCTTTGGTCGATTTTCAGAGGCGTTCATGAAATCAGTCATACAAACGAAGGTTTATTTTATGGTAGGAGGCACTATCAAGGCTTGAGTAGCTGGGTATCTTTCAAGCATCAGGGGATGGGAGGCAAGAAGTCAAAAACGCCGAAACCACGACAACCCTAAGTCATAAACCCTAGATAATGCTGTGAGCTCTTCGAATCGGTGTTCGGCCGCGGATGCAGATACAGGGGATGATTCGACCCACATGGGCAAGGGTTCACATGAAGGCTGAGAGAGCAAGAGTCTCAGGGCAAACTTGCCTTCCGCAAATTCCGGATTCTGAAAGCTACTGCAAACCCCAAGCCCGGAGTCCTTGCCAAGCTATCGAGTCAGGCCACGCAGGCTTCCCAGCGCCCGTCCCCCCCAGGACGGGCGTTTCGATTTGGGGGACTTCGGGCGGATGTTGCAGGGTTATGTAAACGTTTCATGGGGCTTGTGTAAGTTTATAGGGTGTAGGGTTTCGGGATAATCAGAATGCAATGTTTCAATTACAGAGCTTTGGGCTCTCTCGGTTCGGGATTTGAGGTGCGTTTTGCTTTAAGGCCTTTGAAAAGGCGGCTTTATGGGGGGGGGGGGGGGGGGNNGGGGGGGGGGGGGGGTGTTCAAGGGTCTTTTGTAGAGTTTCGAGTTTAGGATTGTTACGTTGGGTTTTAAGTTACTGGTGGGTGGATATTCGGAGCTACCCTCAGTGCGTGCATAGTAAAGTAGCAGGGTTCCATGGACAATGGTAAGGGACAGCCGTGCGCAAAACTGAGTCAACCGCCGTCACTTCGTACATGGTGACTGCACAAAGGGCTCACGCAGAGTATTGGTAAGCTTCTGTTAAAGTTGTCAGTACCATGTGATAAAGACCACAGACCCTAATCCCAAAAATACTAACCTTGAATACATTGTGTTTGAACCTCTTTGGGCCTCCCTTTATCAAGAACCCCAGGTACGTTGGCCAATCCCAGAGAGTCCTGAGTACCGACATAGTACTGCACAAAGTGGGGCGTGAAAGCTGGAGTTAGAATTCATCATGCTTTGTGTACTAAGTCCCCCTGGCCCATATTGCAAGTACTTGAGGCCTTTAAGATCCTTTGGAATGAATGCTCCGCAGGCCTCATCTGGTTCGCGGCGCCGGCTTGGTTTCGAGCTATTGCCTTCCGAAATTGTCAGGGCGTTGACTTCCAAACTTCCTCTCCCTCGCGTCTCCCTTTTTCTTTAGGCCCTGCTCCGAGATCCCGATCTGGCAGTGCGCAACAGGCGTGGCAGCGATCCAGCCCAAAGGCATGGCCCCCAGAAGGGGAATAATTTTAGCCGAATTCCTGTACTTAGGCCTCCGAAGCATTCAGGCCTTAGATATTTGTGGTGCACGGATTTCCCTTACCGTGGTCGGGAGCCTTGGACTCGAAGCCAACAATCGTGCTCGTCCATGATTCGTCTCTCTATCCGGATTCAAGTCTTCGAAAATACAGGATGTATTTTGGGGCTTGTGTTTTCCATTTGCGCACTTGGACCTTCAGGGTTGGCTTCGCTCCGGATGCAATGTATATGGGCCCGCTAAGAAAACTGCCGAGAGCTCCACCAACGCGCCTCCAAGCCCCCAAGGCCATCCAAGGCCACCAAATCCCCCAACAGGTGGGATCTTTCTTGACTTTGACAAGGTACCTTCAAGTTTTCATATTTCAGCAACACCCCGAGAAGTTAAGTTGTGGCGGGGTGCTTTTCCCGCAGGTTCGGTCCCGCTACCGCCTGCCTTCAATGCACCTCCTCTGCGGCCGCCGGTCCCATCGGAGGCGTCTCTTCTTTGGGGGCAAATCAGGATGTGTAGGCTGTGTAGGTTCGTTTACATCGATGCACACATGCCTGCCTGCCTGCCTGCCTGCCTGCCTGCATGCATACATCTGCATACATCTGCTTACATCTGCTTACATCTGCTTACATCTGCATACATGCATACATACACGTGTGTGTGTGTGTGTGTGTGTGTGGGTGTGCGTGCGTGTGCGTGTGCGTGCGTGTGCGTGTTTGCGTGCGTGCGTGTGTGTGTGTGTGTGTTTGTTTGTTTGTTTGTTTGTTTGTTTGTTTGTTTGTTTGTTTGTTTTTTGTTTTGTTTGTTTGTTTGTTT